TCTTTTTGACTTATTGTGTTGAGAAAGATGTGTTAGTCCCACATTATTATTGGTTGTTTTATTACCTTTCCTGTGTGGAAGTTTTATATATTTTTTATTATTCTACTGAAGGATTATAGTGACGACAGTAGCTCAGTTGGTAGAGCAGTGGCCTTTGAGCCTGGAGGTCGTGAGTTCGATTATTGTGTTGAGAAAGATGTGTTAGTCCCACATTATTATTGGTTGTTTTATTACCTTTCCTGTGTGGAAGTTGTATTTTTTTTTTATTATTCTACTGAAGGATTATAGTGGGGTGACAGTAGCTCAGTTGGTAGAGCAGTGGCCTTTGAGCCTGGAGGTTGTGAGTTCAATTCCCACCATGGGACCTACTCCAACTGCTCCCACTGATGTCTACTGTCGTTGTGTCCTTGGGCAAGACACTTAACCCCACGTTGCCTGAAGCCCCCGCTGAAAGACCAAGGCTGTTTCAGTTCACCACTGACAGAGCAGCCATCTTCCTGTGGACTCACCCCCTGCAGAGGATCAGCGAGGGACTGGTGCTATGAGCATTGGGTGGCAGCTCTCATTGCCACCCCCCTGACCCAGAAATGGACAATAAAGGGCTTGAAAATGAATGAAGGATTATAATGATACACTGCATTTTTATTGACAAGTGTCAGCTCTCAGATTCTTATGAAATTATGTTTCTATCTGCTAGAGGCCGAGATATCAATCATTCTGTAGACGTTGAATTTCGACATTAAAAAGAAGCAAGTATAAAATCTCGATTAAGAACCGCGCGACAAATGAGTACCAAACACCATGTCCTGGTACTCATCTGAGTAACTCACTGAAAAGGTTATGTGCACCCCTGTATATAAAGATATTTTGATTGTGTATGACTCTTTAATTTAATTCATCAGAATCAGAATCATTTTTATTGCCACGTAAGTAACAGGAAGTCACAGACTTGGAAATTGCGTTGGCTAGAATAAAAATCCTGTCTAAGGAATACATTTTAATTTAAAATAGAGTTACAGTTACTATTTACAATATACAAGTGCACATGGTGCACACAATGTAAGGTGACAGCAGTACAGTGAAGTAAAGTGACTTATGATGGGCAGTAAAGTGACTTTATAAAGGGCGGGGGGACAGGTTAAGAAGTGTTCAAGAGTCCAACAGCAGAGGGGAAGAAACTGTTCTTGTGGCGGGAGGTTCTAGTCCTGATGGACCGCAGTCTCCTGCCTGAGGGGAGTGGTTGGAATAGTCCATGTGCAGGGTGAGAGGGGTCGGGTGTGATACGACCAGCCCGGCCTCAAGCTCGGGCGACGTACAGGTCCTGCAGCAATGGAAGGCTGCGGCCGATTACTTCCTCTGCAGAGTGCACAATGCGCTGTAGTCTCTGTTTGTCCCTGACTGTGGCTCCAGCGAACCACACGGTGATGGAGGAGGTGAGGATGGACTTGATGATGGCCGTGTAGAACTGCACCAACATCTGTGCAGGCAGCTTGGCTTTCCTGAGCTGCCGCAGGAAGTACATCCTCTGCTGGGCCTTCTTGATGAGGGAGCTGATGGTCGGCTCCCACTTGAGGTCCTGGGTGATGGTGGTGCCCAGGAAACAATAGGACTCCACAGAGGTGATGGGGGAGTCCATCACGGAGGGTGGGGGCGGGGGGACAGTGCTCTTCCTGAAGTCCACAATCATCTCCACTGTCTTCTGGGCGTTCAGCTCCAGGTTGTTACCACTGCACCAGGACACCAGCCGGTCCACCTCCCACCTGTAGGCGGACTCATCGTTGTTGGAGATGAGTCCAATGAGGGTGTTGTCGTCCGCAAACTTGATCAGCTTCACGGAGTCGTGGCTGGAGGTGCAGTGGTTGGTGTTCATCTGTTTGATTATGGTCAATATCAGTAGTAATAACGAATATATTTTAAATGACAATAAAATTATAATGTACTGGTAACTGGTACAGTTGTCTGCTCTAATACATACACAAACACATACAGTGCCTTGCGAAAGTATTCGCCCCCCTTGAACCTTTCGCCACATTTCATGCTTCAAACCTAAAAATATAAAATTTTAATTTTTTGTCATGAATCAACAACAAGTTTGACACAATCGTGAAGTGGAACAACATTTATTGGATAATTTAAACTTTTTTAACAAATAAAAAACTGAAAAGTGGGGCGTGCAAAATTATTCGGCCCCTTTACTTTCAGAGCAACAAACTCACTCCAGAAGTTCAGTGAGGATCTTTGAATGATCCAATGTTGTCCTGTATGACTGATGATGATAAATAGAATGCACCTGAGTGTAATCAAGTCTCCGTATAAATGTACCTGCTCTTTGATAGTCTCAGGGTTCTGTTTAAAGCGCAGAGAGAACCATGAAGACAAAGGAACACACCAGGCAGGTCCGAGATACTGTTGTGGAGAAGTTTAAAGCCGGATTTGGATACAAAAAGATTCCCCAAGCTTTAAACATCTCAAGGAGCACTGTGCAAGCAATTATATTGAAATGGAAGGAGTATCAGACCACTGCAAATCTACAAAGACCCGGCCGTCCCTCCAAACTTTCGTCTCAAACAAGGAGAAGACTTGTTGTGGTAAGTTTCACATCTTAGAATATATTGTACTAAACACACTGATACATTTGCAGACAAAGGCCACTTGTCTCATACAAAGGGGCCCTCTCTCCTGCTCTGTTTCTCATGGCCTTCGTTCTGCTTGCTGTTACAATCTGCAGGTGCGCTATCTGCCTGTTCTTTTGCTATCTGCTTGTCCCTTGCTTATCTCCTCCTTACTCCCCGTCCATGCATGACTCATCCAATCTTGCCGCCACTGCAGACATCAGTGTCCTCTGTTCATTGTTCACTGATTTCCGCCTGAGCATATTATTGAACGCTGGAATGTGAGGAGGAGAGGGAAGCCGTGCAAGGCATCTGCGTGCACCGCTTCTGTCTCGCTCTCTGCAGAGATCTTATTTGTATTGTACTCTCATCATCTTTTAAATAAATTGCACAAAGACAAGCTGTTTTCCTCGGATTTATTCATTGAAGTATTTGAATTTCCACTACAGACTGATCAGAGATGCAGCCAAGAGGCCCATGATCACTCTGGATAAACTGCAGATTAACTACAGCTGAGGTGGGAGAGTCTGTCCATAGGACAACAATCAGTCGTGCACTGCACTAATCTGGCCTTTATGGAAGAGTGGCAAGAAGAAAGCCATTTCTCAAAGATATCCATAAAAAGTCTTGTTTAAAGTTTGCTACAAGCCACCTGGGAGACACACCAAAAATGTGGAAGAAGTTGCTCTAGTCAGATGAAACCAAAATCAAACGTTTTGGCCACAATGCAAATTGATATGTTTGGCGTAAAAGCAACACAGCTCATCACCCTGAACACACCATCCCCACTGTCAAACATGGTGGTGGCAGCATCATGGTTTGGGCCTGCTTTTCTTCAGCAGGGACAGGGAAGATGGCTAAAATTGATGGGAAGATGGATGGAGCCAAATACAGACCGGATGGAGATTTATCTTCCAACAGGACAATGATCCAAAACATAAAGCCAAATCTACAATGGAATGGTTCACAAATAGACGTATCCAGGTGTTAGAATGGCCAAGTCAAAGTCCAGACCTGAATCCAATCGAGAATCTGTGGAAAGAGCTGAAGACTGCTGTTCACAAACGCTCTCCATCCAACCTCACTGAGCTCGAGCTGTTTTGCAAGGAAGAATGGGCAAGAATTCCAGTCTCTCGATGTGCAAAACTGAGAGAGACATACCCCAAGCGACTTGCTGCTGTAATTGCAGCAAAAGGTGGCGCTACAAAGTAGTAGCGCAAGGGGGCCGAATAATATTGCACGCCCCACTTTTCAGTTTATTTGTTAAAAAAGTTTAAACTATCCAATACATTTGGTTCCACTTCACGATTGTGTCCCACTTGTTGTTGATACTTGACAATTTTTTTTATTTTTATATCTTTATGTTTGAAGCCTGAAATGTGGCGAAATGTTGAAAGGTTCAAGCGGGCCGAATACTTTCGCAAGGCACTGTACATGATATAGATAGATTTAATAATTAATGATTATAGATTCTCAGGTCAAATTCAATGAAATAAATCCAATAGGACAAAAGACAATTGTGACCCTATCAGTTGTTAAAAAACAATAATTTTGTTTTTTTTAGCAACTCACTCACTAACTCTTTAACTCACAAACTCACTAACTCACTCACAAACTTAATCATCAAGACAAACCCACAAAGTTTGAGCGGATCCACTGCAGTACTTCATGAATCGCTCCTTTTCCTGTACTCCCGAGGCTTCAAACGTCATTAGTGACGTCACTCACCTAAAACATCTCAAGCTTCGGCTCGCGCTCTGCTAAAAACTTCAGTTTTCTCGACACGACCCATCACTAATGCATGCTATTCGTGGGGATATCAAAGCTACTGTACTTAACTTTCAAACCACAACAAATTGCATCAAATCCCTCTTGTACCATGCTCTCAAAACAGTTTGTTTTCACATGCATGTATCATTACCCTCTCTTGCATCTTTAGATCAGGTATTTACGTCAGAATAACAACAGCAAATAAGCTCTCAGGCTTCAAAGCATCAAATAGTGTTAGGGCTCTTTTTACGTATGTGACAATTAACATGTTTTCTAATAAGAGAACAGCATGTTGTGGCCCGATTTGTTACTTTACATATTGCTTTTACAAACACTCTTTCTGTTGGAATAAAACAATCATGAAACAAAAAAATGGGTATTCCAGTTTAAAGTTGTTTATTAATGAAACACTCTAGAAGTAGTTTGGTGCAGTATATAGACAATTCACACTTTTAGCATTGCAATTTCAATGTCAAACAGAAATGCAAAATAATTGTCTCCTGCCTGCAGGCAGGCAAATGTGATTTTCCAAAACATCTTGACTGGAGCTAAACAAACTACACAGACAAACGAAAGAAATACTGAGCCGCTGAAACAGCACAGGACAGGGAGGAGGCTCTAAAACACTTCCAGATCAGCTGCGCTGTACACCACTGGAGTGTCCTCAGTCCCAGCTGCTTTGGGGTTCTCCTCGTCCTTCTCTTCCGGCCCCTCCTCCAGAGCTTCCAGTGCCTCGTTTGTATCGCTGGCAAATGTCTCCCTGCAAGTAATACAGGGAGACATTTAATACAGTCATAAGTAAAACTTTACACATTAGGCCCCGTTTATACGGGGCGCTGCGCAGATGTTGTCAGGCTATTAACAGAAACGACCAGGCTCCTTATAGAAATTTCACAGCGTTCATACAAGGATGAAAAAGATGTAGTTCTAGCGCCCAGCCAGCAACGGGGAGGTGGGGGGTCAGATCAGGTAGAGAATTCACACCTTTTTCTTCACGCGGGTGTGAAAGAGCCCCACTGAGCAGCCTATCTGAGCTGTCCCACTCTGCAGGCTGGATCTTAAGCCTAGCATACATCGGACTGGCAACTGATTATATCCGTCGCATATGAGTTGCTGCCCCGCACACATCGACAATCTGACGAAAACGGGCAACTCCCAGTATCAGACCAGTCTCTGGAATAACAGCGCGTACATCGACAGCAACTGTCCGTCAACTACAGTGTGTTTTCTGACATAAACTGTTGCGGGCTCGCAATACACACACGTTGTCGGAGCGGCGCATGGAGCGCGCACATCGGGTCATATCTCCGAAACTGAGGACAACTAGTTGCCGAAAAGTAGAACACGGGCAACTGACTGAAACCGGAGACCGACTGTTTATCTCCAGTTGTAAGAGCGCTCACATCGACCGATTTCGGCAACTGATCATCTCCCACCATCTCCTCTCAGTTGCCAAAAGCAGCCTTGCAACTAGTTGTCCCCAGTTTCTCTGTCGATGTACGCTAGGCTTTACATTTTACGTTTTCTCCCCCCTGGAACACAGTCTCCATATGAACAACAAATGTAGCAAAAGACATCCAACTACTGCTGCATTATCTTCATCTAAACGGGGCCTTAACCTTTGAAGAACAAATATTAAGCCTTGACACTCAAGGACGGACAAACTTTGGATTTCACATAAAGAATCTGATTTGAGGGCTACACACAAACATCAGGTTAGGTAAAAAAGGCTTTCCCAGCGCCATTTACAGTGGGGCAAAAAAGTATTTAGTCAGCCACCAATTGTGCAAATTCTTAAAAAATCCATTCATTATAGGACCTAAACTATGAGAGAAAGAATGAGAAAAAAACCCCCAGAAAATCACATCCTCTGATTTTTCAGAGGATATATTCCAAATGATGAGATAAGTATTTAGTCACATACAAACAAGCAAGATTTCTGGCTCTAAGAAACCTGTAAGAGTTAGGGTTCCCCTGTCCTCCACCTGTTACCTGTATTAATGGCACCTGTTTAAACTCATTATCTGTATAAAAGACACCTGTCCACAACCTCAACAGTCACACTCCAAACTCTACTATGACCAAGACCAAAGAACTGTAAAAGACACCAGAAACAAAATTGTAGACCTGAACCAGGCTGGGAAGACTGAATCTGCAATAGGTAAGCAGCTTGGTGTGTAAAAAAGTCAACCGTGGGAGCAATTATTAAAAAATGGAGGACATACGACACTGATAATCTCCCTCCATCTGGGGCTCCACACAAGAGCTCACCCTGTGGGGTCAAAATGATCACAAGAACGGTGAGCAAAAATCCCGGAACCACACGGGGAGACCTAGTGAATGACCTGCAGAGAGCTGGGACCAAAGTAAGAAAGGCTACCATCAGTAACACACTATGCCGGCGCCGCAGGGGACTCAAATCCTGCAATGCCAGACGTGTCCCCTGCTTAAGCCAGTACATGTCCAGGCCTGTCTTAAGTTTGTTAAAGAGCATTTGGATAATCCAGAAGAGGACTGGGAAAATGTCATATGGTTAAGATGAAACCCAAATAGAACTTTTTGGTAAAAACGTCCCTTTGCAGAAAAACATTTTTTTCTGCAAAGGGACCAAGACGACTGATCCGTGTAAAGGAAAGAATGAATGGGGCCATGTATCGTGAGATTTTGAATGAAAACCTCCTTCAATCAGCAAGGGCATTGCAGATGGAACGTGGTTGGTCTTTCAGCATGACAATGATCCCAAACACATCACCAAGGCAACGAAGGAGTGGCTTTGTAGGAAGCATTTCAAGATCCTGTAGTGGCCGAGCCAGTCTCCAGATCTCAACCCCATAGAAAATCTTTGGAGGGAGTTGAAAGTCCGTGTTGCCCAGTGACAGCCCCAAAACATCTGCATGGAGGAATGGGCCAAATACCAGCAACAGTGTGTGAAAACCTTGTAAAACTGGATGTTGGAGCTCTGTCATTGCCAACAAAGGGTACATAAAGTATTGAGATTAAATTTTGTTATTGACCAAATACTTATTTTCCACCATAATTTGCTATTAACTTTAAGGATTTTTTTTCTGGCACGCCGCAGAATAAATACTGACACCTCAGTATTATTACGACACTCACTTTATCTGTCCTGTTTTAAAAATAAAAGCATGTCTGTACGTGTTTGACTGCCGGCACTAGGACCCAGAGGACACCACTGCGTGGATTTGCGTTATACAGATCTGCATGCGCCGGGCCTTACAGGGGTGTCCAAATTCAAAGTGGCGAGGTAGGCAGCGTAGGCATCATGCCTTTGTCTCCATGGAAACGGGCACTTTTTGAGCAGATTTGAAGGATACATCTGATGTATGCTTCGTTGCCTTATTTTTCCCAGAGTCATGGCCGCGCATACATGTGCAGAACTCCGTTCGGCGTTAACGTGTAAGCAACTCAAGAACCTCTGACCTGGAGCAAACATGTGTCTATAGTGAGTACTGCTATACTTTAGTGTTGAGTTATGAACACGACTGTAAAACACAGGCATAAGTTAGATCTGCCAAAGACGTATGTTTTTAACTTTGTTATCTGCCGTGATTAAATTCAGTTGTCCTGAAAAGCTAAGGCTAATGCTACGAGGCTAGCCAGTTTGTTCAGAGTGTTTTTGAACAAGAAAAATCATGTTGTGTTTTATCTTTAGGGAGAAACAAACCCACAGATTAAATATTAAAGCCGCACTGAGGAAACAGTCACGTTTTCATGGAAAATCACTCAGCAGTCCATGGAGACAGCAGCTATAGTATGCTAACACATGTTTTCTGTATTAATATAAAATAGATTGTGTTTATCATTTTTAATCCCATACTGAGACTGGGAATACTGTATTTACATTTACTGTATATATTAGACATATATGAAATTATAGAATTGGCCAATGCTAATTATAAAGCACTTTTCATTCAATTGTCTGATAAATATACGTATAGTAATAAAATAACAAAAGTACATTGTACAGATGTTTCTTTTGTCATTAAGACATTTGCAGATGACAAAGTCCGACTTCCACAAAGACAAGTTTAAAGTGGTTAGCCATGCTTCTAAGTTGTTCATTTGTGTATATTTCTATTATAATACTCTGTTACTCCTCAGAGCGTTTGTTTCTCCTGCTGTGAACGCTTGTACCTCTAATATTAAATACAAGAAGGATTTATCTATTTTTAACCAGTTCATTGCAGTTTGAAAGAAGAAAGACGCCTAATAACTTTTATTAATTGAATATGAAGTGTGAAAAGAATCTAAGTGTGGTGTCCATGTTTTAATATATGTCTGGTGAAATTAACTTTGACAGCAACAAAATCACAATCCATTTCTCCAGCTTCACCGCCATCACCTCCTGCTTCACTGCTGATAACAATCTACAAAAAACTTGTATATAATATTATAGTGTTTTAATTGATCATCAGTCATGAATAGTTAGAACACAGTGGGCTCTGCATCTCTGAAGACATGTAGCAACAACAGCAGCAGGAGGAGCAACAGCAGCAGCAGGAGGAGCAACAGCAGTAGCAGCAGCAGCAGCAGCAACAGCAGAGTCCTGGGCGTCTGCCTCTGACGCAGGTCTCTTCTACAGTGTGCGCTTCATATAGAAGAACCTGGAAATAAAGAATTTTTAAAAAAGTGAGGTATTAACACAGGTACATTTGTCAACAGTACCTATACTTCTAATTGAATACATTAAGCCATTGAACTCTAATCTGATATGACTAGTAACATTCTGTTTGCTTTTCAACACTTCAAAAAGTGAATAAGAGCAGTTTAACTCTATTATACAGTTATTATTATAGATCCATGGATATCAGCAAACACACGTTATTACATTTAGGCCTGATATAAATTACTTTTAAGTTATGCACAAACGAGGGCCATAGAAAATATATCAAATCATATATAATAATAATCCATTGCATACATGTGCATTGTTTACATAAAATATCACTTTGTAAAAACAAGTAATTACTGCCAATACAATTGTTATAAACAGAGAAAGTCCGTTACAATAGCCTCGTCTTTAGGTTTTTAGAATTAAGATTGTAAACATCAGGGGAGCTCTCAAAATGTGTCCCTGTGTTTAGACGCTCTGTTCTGGGCTTCAGCACTGCAGCTAACTGCGCTTTTAGCTTATAGCACCGGAGGTCCGCACTGGAGGAAAAGTCCAAAATGTTTTGATTTTATCACCAAACAGACTGCTGATAATGACAATAGACGGGGGTATTTCTCGCCTCATATGTTAAGAGAACTCCTCTGCTCCTCTATCCTCCCTGACCATCCAGCACCCTGTCCCAACCCTCCCTTACGTTTCTACAGGACAGAATTAAAGCGTATTTTAAACTTTTTACCTTCCATCATGGCCGTGGTGTCCTTCCGCTCTGCTCTGAGTTGAGTCGTCACGTGACGAAGGCAGTTGCTGTCCAAATTCACTTCAGGTTTCACTGCCTATGTCGCCAGATGCCTACGAGGCTCTGAAAGTACGTTCCTTCGATGCCTACGTATCCACCCTGCATCGCCAGATGCCTACCAATTTGGACACAGCCAATGACAGTCTATGGGTTCGACGTGCCTCCTTGGTTAAACAACTTTTAGCGGATAACATAGATTGTAGTAAACTTTTGCCCTTCAGAATCAGAATAATTTTTATTGCCATTGCCACTGCCACAGACTAGGGAATTGCTTTGGCTCTGGTGCAAACAAGTCAAGAGTAGAGAAGGAATAAGGCATAATAAATAATTT